TAACAAGTCCAAACCTTAAGGGTGTCTTTTGTAGTTAATTCAGCTGAAGATATGTAAAACTTACAATAGCAAGCAGAAATGAAATCCAGAAGTATATATTTGTTCCTGAGGTGCATAAAATATGACAACTCGGGAGATTAGATGGAACAATTTCCATATATTTGCAGAAAATTATGAAGTTTTAAACATGATTTAGTTGCTCCTGAATGATCTCAATTGACTAAAATGATTGTCTATATCAGCAGTTTAAAATAATTTTCATGGTTTCATGAAATAGACTTTGCTGCAAAGCATTTGAAACACATTTAGACTTGCTATACATGCAAAAAAAGGTATCTTCATGAAAACTCATCCTCATGCCAAATTCATCGAGGCAGCTTCAGTTTATCCATTTTTACAAAGACAAAGAGATAAGAATTGGCCTGAACTCATTAGTTACAGATTTAAGTGAAAAAAGGTACTTTTAGTTGCAGAAAGTAATTACCATGAAAACCCAGAACAATGCAGGTAATAGCAAAAATCCACAGTGGGATGCTGCAAGAAAAAGGAGGATATATATGTCAGACTCTTATCTTATTTTTGGTTGATTATATCAGGTATCACAAAACAGACTCATGATAAACCCTCATAAAACGACTTTACAGCTCAAGCCAAGCAAATTTTGCCTTACCTAATCCCAACAATATCCCGAAACTCTTCCTCCATACTCCGAAGCATGTAGTTATGAAAATCATAAGTGAAAGGCAATTGATGAGTCTGCAAAAGCTACTGAAATTATTTTCATGTTTTATGTCCTAATGCCGTATATAGTTATCCATGATCTAAATGACATGTTTCTATAACAATCAACATTTTTCACAGAAGCCATTTTCATACTTACTACTATCCTATGCAATCCACATTGCTGATTAAGCTATAATCCTTACAAAATCATTTCAATGATACATATTGTATTTTCAGATAGCATTAATATCATAACAAAGCAAGAGTTTGGAGAAAAGCAAACTGAAGATCTTATATAAATAAAGATATACAAAAATAAAAAATTACAGTAATGAAGCCTAGTCTGAGAGCCATGTAGTCGGCTTGGCTAATTGAACTCCAGAACTGGCGGCTGAAACAAAGCTGAGAACAAAAACAGATTATGAAAAACCCAAGAGGTAATTCATACACATAAACATATTTATTGAGGAAAATAATGAACCTAAATAATTTTTTTTTGCCATAAAAAGGCAACCGACTAATATTCGTAGTTACCCAACATGACCTTATCGAGATCCTAATAATTTTCAGTTGCAGTGTACATCTTTTACAGGACATTTGAAAATTGGACAACACATATAGTCAAATACTTCTAAGAGAACTCAACTGGTGCATATGTATACCAGCCAAATAAGAAGCCTATGTTGACTCCATGGATGAGAAGTGTGATGAAATAAAAAACTCGCGAGCCGCCTCATTCGCACGCCATCTGTCCCATTGTTTTCAGACTCTGTAAATTTTGCCAAAAAAAGGGGTTAACAAAATAAACAAAAAAAAAAGGTTCAACATATTATGTGGATAATGTTTTGCAGGAAAATCATAGTAAACCACGTCAATCACCAGACCAGCTGGCGTATCCACCATTAGCAAGCCCCTAAAAGCCAATGTCTTGGCGAGATCTTCCCAAGTCCTCCAGCTATAGATCTGCTCAAGTTCACATCAAATCAAAGTACTTTGTGCAAAACAATGTATGCGGCTCACAAGAGCCAACTTTGAAGGAGAAGAAGAATTATATCTACCTTGATCATGGCTAATGCAACAGCAAAGAAACTATAGCAGATATGCGTAGTGCCCAGAACAAACAAGAACCTATGGAGCTGCTCAAGGCTCTCATATGAAGCAAAAGGTTCATGATACTGGGGATAAAAAAAGAAAGAAAGAAAAAAAGAAAAAAAGAGTGAACACTGTTAGTAAGACTGTGTTAATTTGTCTGCAGCATGCACTAGCTGAAACAATTTCATATTTTGTCATGTAAGGAATGCCTAAATTTTGAGCAGTTCTCTACGTCACCTGAAAAGATGATTGTTTTCAAATTCAACATTTTTGCACTTCTACAGTTAGCTTTCCATTTATTTTTTTCCGCTTCTCTTTAAATTAATTTCTGAAAAACAACATTCACAAGGCTAGTGTGCTAGCAGTTGTGTATAGTAAAGCGAAGATTTTCATTACCGCACAGTGTGCCCTTGTTAAAACTTATTTTATGTTGGTGCTAATATCTTCAAATCTACTACTACTGACAAGTTCTATAATACAAAGAGATCAAACACATTTTAACGCATCTCAATCACTTTCTGAAAAACAAAACCAGCTTCCAATTCCAGATTCACCACAAGAACTACAAGACAACTGATTTTTTTATTTTTTTTTATTTTTTAAGAAAAGAGTATGTTATTAATTACTATGTATACCTTGGGACAAGAATCTCGATGAACGTCCTCCAACAACAATAATCGAGAAAGAGAGAGGTTCAAATGAAGAGGCTTCGGAACAACAGCATGATCCTTAATAATAACTTCATGTTGTGGAAAACTATGAGGAGCACACGGGTAGAATCGGCTACTCAATGCGGAAGACTTGACACAAATTTTAGACACAAAGATAATCCAATGACCCATCAGCAACGACAGAAGCCCAAATACCATTACCTCTGCTCGAATTTTTAACAGGAAAAGAAAAAAAAAAGTACATAAAAATGATTACAAATATTTTTTTCCCAAAACATCAAAAGGAATTGTACCAAGAAAATCATTTCCATTACCTTCCTTGATCTTGTCGAGCGCCGCAAGAAGATGCTTCCTTTTAGTTCTATCCAGCCACTTGCATAATTAACGCAGCGAAAAAAAAAACTTAGAAAAAGAAATTCACACTCTCATTCCCAAAGAAAATGACACAAATACATCATACGAGGAATTAAAACCTTTCCACACTTCTTCAAACCTCCGTGAATGGAAAAACCGACCGTAACCAAGACGGTGATGACGGTGGCGACAGCCCACGACGGCGTTTCAGCCAAGGATCGTCCTTCCTCAGTTTCTGTTGCTCCCATTTTCCAAAACCCAGAAATAAAATCAGATTTTTAGGTGAATTTCCAAGCAAAGTGAGAATCTTTTCCAGATGGGCTGTAAATTTTGGGTTCAGACTTCAGAGAGAACACAGGAAAAATGGGTTGTCGAAATAATGGTCGACTGGTGGTGCGAGGCATTCATTAATGGAGTCATAACTGGTTTGTCTCTTATCTTGTTATGCAATGAAGGGTATATCATTAAGAACGGGGTGCATGGGGAGCTATAATAGGGAACAGGGCAAGAAAATGGTTCCATTTTTCATTAATGTGGCATTAATTGGACAGTTTACACATTAAGGCTGCGCCTACCTCAACCAACTTTGCAACTTCTGTAATGTATGTGGAAATTTTGTTCCAAGTTTTAACTTTGTTGACCAGGCTGTCAGGTTGGATTCGCGGTATGGACTATGTAGTAATGATTCTAATGTGTAGTTGGAAAAATTGAAAATTTAGAGATGTTTGTTTACAAGAAATTTAAAAAAAAAAAAAATCAATATTTTAATTCAACCATGTTTTTAGCTCAACTTTAACTCAAACTAGTACATAGCCCGTGCGATGCACGGGGTACACAATTTTAAGGCTATTTATCCAGACTTATAATTATATACATGAATAAAGAAAAATGTACGGAATATATATAGTACATGACCCGCGAGATATATTTATTTGGAGAATATTATATTATAAGATGCAATATTCAATAAAAGTTTATAATACGCAAGAAATTATACGATGTTCAATAAAAATTTTATAATATTCAAGTGGAGTCTTAAAGTCTCTTGTACATTAAGACTACTGACAAAATAATATTTTAATCAATGAGTTTCATTTCCTTGTAGCCAAATTGTGAATGTGATTTGATGAGTACAGCAAATCGATATATAGCTTACTTATTTTTTTCATTGTAGTTTTTTTTCTTTTTTTTTTATAATGAATTTAAAGATATTCTAAAATTTAGCAAAAATTAATTTTTTTATTACAATTAGGAATTTTACTAAATATAAACTCTCAATCTATGGTGTTAATCAACGTTTAAGTCTAAAAAATTAAGAATTTTTACCTCTTTTAATCAACGTTTAAGTCTAAAAAATAATAGAGTTATTATAAGTTTTTTTTCTACATCTTTTAAAACATTAAATATGAGCATGTTAGGGCTAGCTTGTAAAATAATTAATATATTATCTCACTAAAACATTTATACTAATAAAAATTTAATTTTAGCATATAAATTTATCCCTTGATATAAGAGAAAGTAACAGTTTTACTTATTGTTGTTCACCATGTAATATTTAATTATTATTTTATTATATAATAAAAAAAGAATATTGTTAAATAGTGTAGTAGAATTGTTTTAAAATTATATGAATTTTTTTTTTTACAATATGAATTTAATATTTTTTATGATTTGATAATATAAACAAATCTATACTTAACTTTGACAAATAAAACAAATAAATACTTTAGTAAGTATTTAATGTATATACTAAATAGGAATATATTTGGTATAATCAAATACCAAATATAATCAAATAAGTCAAAGTGTACATTTTTATTTGGTATTTAATTTTTTTATTATTAAAATCTTTTTATTATACTTACCTTTTTAAAATAAAACAAATAAATAAATCAATTAAATAAATAAAATATTATAATACCAAAATAGTAATGACATTTAATGCAGTTGACTTTTCTGGATAATAAATGTAGTAAATAGAATATCCTTTTATATAATATAATATGGAAATAGTAATGCAATAAATGCTGTTGACTTTTCTGGCTACTTAATTTGGTAAAATAGTACCCCCTTTAATATAAGTATAGATTCACTATTAGGGGCGGAGCCACCGTAGGGATAGGGTGGGCTCCAGTCCCATGTCATTAAAAAAAAAAATTGCTAATCTTATTTTTTAAAAATTTTTATACATAAGCCTAATTAGCCCCATGTAATTTTTTATATAGCCCAATTTAATTTTGGGTTGGATGTCTCAAGATTCAGGTCGAAATTTTTTATATGACAACAATGAAGGAAAAGTGACGATTGCAATGAGAGGAAAAAAGATAATCCTCAATTGTCAGATGACAATTGTGTCCTTATTAGATTTTTATCAATTGGGTTTATAATGTAACCTAACACACTCTTGTCTTTTAATTTTTTTAATGGGTTGACCTGACAAGTATCAAATGATAATTAAGCATGACACACACTTCTCTTGCGGGCTATTTAATTGTGTTCGTCTCATTGCACAATCCGTTATCCATCTTCGTTTATTATTTTTTTTGTTGATTTCGCCTCCAATAATTAATTCGGCCTCAATTCCTTGACAAAGAAAAAACTCTTACAGAGTTGAGTACAAACATGCTCGACTCTATTTGTTTGATGGACAAGTTCGATTAGCTATTTGAGTTTGGCTTGTTTAAATATATAAGCGAGTCGAGATTGATTTTTTCCAATTCAAACCTATATATGTTATCAAATAATTTGGTTAAAGTCATGATCACCAAAACCGGTTATGGATCGAAATTGCCGATCCCGAGCCGAGAGTTGGAGGACCCTGGACCGGCGCAGGCATATGCACGTGCCAGTTCATCGAATTGTCGGTTCTTGGTCGTCCGGTTCATTAAAAAAATAAAAAATAATTATAAAATAATATATATTTTTTTAAAAAGAAAACTGAACCTCGGGTTTCGGTTGCAGTTAAGAACCGAAACTACCGGTTCAAAATTTATAAACTATATAGTATTGTACATGACCGAACTGGTCAAAACCACGGGTCGGTTCAAGACCCATGGTCAATGCGGTTTGTGTCAGTTCAGCCCGAACCGACAGGCTGGGTCAGCCCATGACCACGTTTACTCAGTTCCAATAAAGCTACAATAATATGCAGCCCCGGGTCAAAAAAATTTCTGGCTACGCCCTTGTCCACTATCATCAATATTATCAATATAATAAAATAATATATCAATCAATAATTCATACACACCATATCAACCTTAGAGCATCTCCAATGGTTGGAGTGGATTGTTGTGTATATGGCAATTGAATAGACGGTCTCCTGTCCACGTGGACTGAATAAAATGACATGTTAATAAGTAACTCTCTAGTGGTAGATGTTTATACACTCTAAATGTTTATATACGTGTTTTATTTTTTAAATAGATACCATACACAACCCAATTGATATTCATCAGATTTTTTATATCACGTATATTTATTTTTTAAAGAGTTATCACCCACAGCGCAACTGATATTCATCTCGTATTTTTTTTGTATTCATCTCTTATTTTTTTGTATTCATCTGGTATTTTTTTTGTATCAGATATTTTTTTAACAACTGATATTTATTTTTTGTATTCATCAGTTATTATTTTTCTTAATCAAATTTATCTGGTATATATATATTTTTTTTTTGTATCAGGTATTTTGTATTCTTTACGTAATAATAGATTTTAATTAAAAACAAAAGAAGTAAAAATGAGGGGAAAAATGAGTCATCCAATCTGGAAGGATTTTCAGATATAGACAGACTTATACAATTTTTGATTCTCTCTCATGCCACATCATAACAAGAAGAAATTACGAAGTCACCGTTGGAGGAGGGTTTTTATCCCAATGCATCTACAATTCTTCAATTAACATACCATTGAAGATGCTCTTAATTTACTATTTATCCAATCACATTATTTTAACTAATCGTTATTTCAAATCATCTCTCTCATACTTTTACATTAAATCAATGTCAATTATTTTATTTTTAATATTATTTTAATATACCTACTAACAACTAATCATACTATATTTTTCAAAACCAAACCAAACCAAAAAATCCAACAAAGCAAAAAAATTTCATATCCAAACATGCTCTTAGTCCTCTAACTAACACTTAATTTAGTCCACCGTCGTCTGGTTGTTAGTCTCCTATATGAAGTTTGTGTCTGCTTTTTGGAGTTTTGTCTTTTGCAGTTAGTTTCCTTGTTGGAGTTTTTAACCCCTTGACCACCTAAGCGGATCCAAGGGGGATTGATCTAGTTTTTTTAGTTCTAATGTATCCGTTGACACTTCGATTTGTACTCTTTTTAATAAGTCAAGACCACTGCCTGAATAGCATTCAGACTCGTCCTTCCCAAGATAATCTCACCATTTTCAGATTGAATTGAAATATCCCAACAATAATGGATTTTCAGATTTTTTTCTCATTTAAATTAATGTTGTAAATCAAACATAAATTTGTTCCGAAAATATTGGATTCTATACCAAATATTGATAAACTCCAATCCTCCATGAATTATTTATATTTATGAATTATGTGTTTAAATATATTGATTTGCTTTTCATACATAACAATAAATTACATTATTTCCTCACATAACTCCTAACTTCTTTTTTATTTTTTTGGTGTTTTATATTCTTTAATTAAAATAATATATGACTTATTTGATTGAAACAAATTATTTTTCGGCATATAATCATAGAGAATTCAAAATCTATTAATTTACCAAAAATCACGACCTAAATATATATCTATCAACATAAAAAGGTGAAACATTTAGCTAAAATAGTATGTAAAATTTCACCTAAAATTTTAGTTTTTACTAATAATGGTTTTTTTTTCTTTTTGAAATTTTTGTATATTCCCGCCAAAAGCACGATTTGATTTTGAAAAAAAAAAAAAATAGATTTGAAAATCCAGCCAAATCTCTATATATTGATGAATTTTTTGTCTATATTTATCTAACTACAAAATATTTTTAAAGTTTGAAAAAATATCCCATATTATGTGAATTCTTGGTGAAAAAAAAATTGTCCATATTTATCTAACTACAAATCTTTCTAAATTTTGGAAGCATTCCATAGTATGAGAATTCTTTCTATTATTTGGTGTACACAAAAATGAAAAACGCCAGTTCGGTTTTTGATTATTTATGGACTCAATTTCGGTCTCTGTAAAGTACTCCATTTTGGTTTAGCTTAAACTAAATTAATCAACGAATGCACAACACTTTATATAATTAGTTGTATAGTTTTTCGGCAATTGTTGCAGTTAGACTTTCATGATTATTTTCTTATCATAGAGATTACTTATCATAGAATGTGATTATTAAAACATAGCGTATCCAAAAAATATTTATTTCAAATTAATAACTCAATCAAGCGTTAGATTTAAATTATATGATTGCTTACTATTAAAACTCTCTTATTATGTTTATTTATTCATCGTCAGACCAAATATTGAGTATATGTATTCAAATAATTGAAAAGATTATTGTTGATATCAAAAATTGTATCAACATAGAAAATGTCCTTCCAATTTTTATATGACAAAATGGAGAAAAAGAAGATAGATGATGAAGTTCTTTTTTCTTTGCTCTTTTGAGAGGATTTTGTTTTTCTCTTATGTAATGGAGAGTCCTTTCAATAATGAAGACCCCCTCCCTTTTACATGCCTTAAAAGTGGGCAATAAAAAATAGAAAACTAGTACAATTAGTGGGCAATAAAATAATAGAAAAGTAGTACAATAACATTTAATCAATATGACGTTTGACGACTTCCTTACGATATCCAATTGATCGATTAGTTTAACTTCTACCTGGCTCGGACGTGGACGATCTTAACGTCTGAGGGCTCGGTCGATATTAAATGATCAGCTTGGAGAACTGGCTTTCTGTATATTTATTTGTTATATATGCCCCTATTTATTTTTCCACGTGCCACTCTTTTATTAGTCGTGACCAAATTGAGTATCAACATTTATAACTTAAAATATATTGTAATATTTATCTTGACCAAATTATTATGAACATGAATTACGGAAAATCAATCTTGTAATTTATTATATTATAATGAATATCAATAAAATTATTGCAGATATTAAAAAAAATTATTAAAGGAAACAATATTTTTGATTATATCTGATTTGATCTTATTTGAAAAAGTGTATATAAAAGCAATTAATGCATATATTTAAAATATTTCCAAAAAAAATTATGCATTAAATGCTGCCAAATTTTTTACTACTATTTTTAGTAAATGGTCATTCTTACTATATAGATATAGAAATATAGAATATAGAATATATATCTAAATATATAAATTATTTTTGATCCATATTAAAATTGATGTAATATAGTAACCCATATCACCAGAATATGGGCAAGAATCAAAATTATCAAGTGTCCAGTTTAAATCAACCGGTTAATAGTTGATGGGCTTGGGCCTAAAAATGTAACCAAACCAATCTAAAAAAAACCATGAAAGGTTGGGATTTATTTTCATGCCTGATAACAAATAATAACAATAACAATAACAATTGTCAACCAAACTCAGCCAAAATTCAGAAGAACCCTACCGATAAAAAAAAAATAAAAAACCAAACCATCAGATTCACCAATCGGTCCATGGATGCACTCCGCAAGACCAACACTCGCATCCCGCCGGAGTGTTCAACCGCCTATTCTTCCACCACAACCTGCCGTCAACACAACGAGCGAGAGAGAAGATACACGCCATATTCATGGAGTGCGGCTTCAGATCAGCATCGATACGAACAAGGATACCTGCGGCACCGCCTTCTTGGCGCTACTGAGACCGCCGTCAACACCTTTCAGGCTTCAGCGTTGCCAGCAGTTCTCAGATCTTTGAGACCGCCGTTGGCGTTACCCGCAGGCGAAGAAGGGCAAGAAATTTGTCCTGAGAAAGACGGTAATTAGTTTTTTCTGCACTTGTGCTATGCGGCGTTAGGGTTTTGATGTTTTGAGTGAAAAAAGGTCTATATCGATGCCTCCTTAATTTTTTCCCCATTCTAAAGCCCCTTTTTCTTTGTATATTGTCAAGATTGGGGGTCCTATTTGAAAAGATAGATGCGGGCCAAAATATCCATTGACCCATGAACGAAGATTTCCAGTATGCTTCTCAAACAACAAAAGCCTGTGCGATTAGGGTTTTCTGAATCCCACCCAAGTCAGTTTTCTTTATTCTTCTTGTTCTTTTATATTAGTCTCAACAGGTGAGTTAATTGCTTTCTATCATTGTTAACTGTATATGTTATCTCTAATTTCTCATGATGTTCAATTACATGATCGGGATTTCTTTTTCCTCTTGTGCTTTATCTGAGTGAGACATAACATACTGTTAACTTACTGTGGTCTTACTGCCTTAATTATCACGGGTCAAACCTCGTTGTGTATCAGTTTTTTTCAGAATTGCTAAAATTCTTTCACAGTGTGATTAGTTCTTTTTGCTTTCTCACATTTCTGAGTAAACTGTTTTTTGTATTTGTCCATATGGTTTTTAATTCTAGTTTTTTGGGTAGTTTGATCTATCCCTTTGTTGTAATGGTGGGGATGCCTCTGAAGTTGGACTAAATTTGATTTCTGGTTGTGTAGAGTTGATTGTTTATTGGTGGTGATTGGATATGACGAAAAGTTGCTGGATGATTTAATTTTCTTCTGCTGTTTTTGTTCCTTTTCTTTTTAAGTATGACTTTTAAGCGAATCAGGAAAAATGGAAAGAAACAAACTCTATTTGCTGCATAGATGAATAATTGATAATATGTACCTTATTCGAAAAGGAAAATTTGTTAGAAGATATATTTCATTTTTTTAAGTATTAGGTCAAGTATTGATAGGCACTACAATATGTTTCCTTTTGAATTGAGATCGTAATATTAATGTAGATGTGTATATGTATAGTTACATGTCTAGGTAACTTGATTGGCTTTTCTAAATGTGTGATATTTGCAGAAAAGACTTTTACTTGGTTTCTGTAGAAAATTTGAGTTGGCTTTCCTATGCATCGGATGTTTTTCCTGTGTTTATGGAGTAGGTGTGATTTAGTTACAAAATGACCTGGGGTGGTGAATAGCTATGAATGAGTATTAAAAGTAAATTTCCAATTTTTCGTATAACGTGGTTGTTGATATGCTATATAGAGATCCTATTCCATTGAATAATTTTCTTGATGTTTTCAATCTGCTATGTGGATGAGCTTTGTCAGGGACACTCTGGGAACAATCGACTGATCAAATAATCTATTACATTGTTCATTGGTCGATGTATAATGGGTGAATCTAGAATATGGAATTTTAATTACCTATAGTTTTGTCTATGTATAAATATTTTTCAACAACTAAGGTCCTGCTCTTTCTTTATGGTTTTGATTTTGATTTTTTGTACTTGTCTTGCTACAATACAATTCATCCAATTTCTTGCTCTGCCTTGGGGACTATTTGGTTTGGGCATTGAATTTGGTTCTGATACCTATTTTTGTGGCTAAGGGATTAGACATTTGATGGGATTTTTGAGTTTTCTTAAATACTAATATTTTCATGCCAGTCATCTCTTCATCGTTAACTGTAATTTATTCCCGTTGTTCAATGATATTTGTTCAATTATATTATCTATTATACGTGTTGGATTATATTATCTAGGGAAAAATTGATGCCTCTTGTACTTTCCTTAACAAGACCTAGTGTTTACTTAGTGGGGTATATTGTTTACTGCCTTAATTATCAAGGATCAAGCCTTGTTGCGTATTAGTTTTTTTAGAATCACAAAGATTATTGTGTGCTAGAAACATACCCTCCAACCATTTATCTGGATAGAAAAAATTAACTTTTCTGTAGGGTTTTTTTTTTCTTTGTTGGAAATATTCTAACTGAGCATGTGCTTATTATTTATTTGTCTTAAACATGGCCACTCTCTTTGCGCTTGAAATATAGTTTGCTATTTGTTAGTTGTGGGTCTTATGTTCGGCTGTAACATATTTTTGGGATCTTTATTTTCTTATCCTTTCAATCAACAATAATATTTTACTTTGGAGAACCTGCAACCATAATCTTAATGAATTTATGGTTTTGATTTTGATTTTTTGCACTAGTCTTGCTACAATACAATGCATCCAATTTCTTGCAGGGGGCTTTTTGGTTTGGGCATTGAATTTAGTTTTGATACCTATTTGGGCATCCAATTTAGTTTTTTGCTACCAATTCAACCAATGTCTTGCTCTGTCTTGGGATCTCTTGGTATTGGGATCTCTTGATCTAGGCAATGAATTTGGTTGTACTTCTTATTTGTGTCTTGGCTAACGGGTTGGACATTGAATAAAACTTTTAAGTTTTCTTATATACAAATATTTTTTCTACTGATGGTCTATTTATTTTCTTATTCTTTTAATATTAATTTTATGTAACATTCTTTTGTGCTACCAATACAACATATCTGATTTCTTTGCCCTACCTAAGGGGACGTCTTGGTTAGGCCTTGGACTTCAATTGTGCTATGTATGTACAACTAAGGGATTGCACAGTCAATTATATTTTTTAGTTTTGTCTATGTTCTATTATTCTCTTTAATTCTCATAGTTGGGGGAGAGTTTAGTGTTCGGTTGTGTTGCTTATTTGTGGATATGGAGCTAGTCATTCAATTAGACATTTTATTAGTTTGGTCATGTATTAATATTTTCCAACTTCTATTTTTTATTTTTGCTTTTAATTTTATTTCTTGTATAATTCTCGTGCTCCGTATACAGTTCATCTTATTTATTTCTTGCTCTGCTTTGGGGATATCTTGGTTTGTGCAATGAATTTGGTTGTGCTACCTTTTGGGGGCTAAGGGATTGAATATTCGATTATATTTTTAAGTTTTCTCATATACTAATATTTTCTTATCCACAATCTCTTTATTTTCTTTTTTCTTTTAATATTGATTTTTTGTCCTGTCCTCTTGTGTTATCAATACAGCCCATCCGATTTCTTTGCCCTACCTTAGGGGACGTCTTTGTTGGGGCTTTGAGTTCGATTGTGCTATGTATTTGTAGCTAAGAGGTTGGATATTCGATTATAATTTTTGATTTGCCATCTTTGATGTGTCGGTACTACGGTAGCAAGAAACTCGTTTTGGGCCCTAGATTGGACGTGTCCTCTGACTTGTAGATTTGATTGCGATAAGAGTTAATTTTTTTTCCAATAAACTATATTCTTTTATTTTGGAGACCTGGAACTTTAGATCTTAAACTTTTTGTTTCATTCTCTTTTGCTCTTAGTATAATTTATTGATTTCCTTTGCTTTAGTCTTTGAATTTGATTGTGCTACCTATAATTCTTTTTTTTGGGGGTGGGAGAGAGGTCGGTGTTCGAGTATATATACATATATATATATGTGTGTGTGTGTGAAGAAATATTTCCTTGTTAATTACTCATTGTTTCCTTTATAACTTTGATCATTTTGTTCTCTTTTTTTATGCCATCAATATGCTTCACACCAATATGCTTCATTTGATTTCTTTGTGATGAAGTTCTGATACTTATTTGTGCGCCTAGACATTCAGATAGATTTTTTATTGGTTTGGTTTATGTACTAATATTTTCGAGCTGATATCCTGTTTTTTCTTTATACTTTTAATTTTGATCTCTAGTATTACTCTCATTCTACCACCACAACCAATTTCTGGCCCTGTCTTGGGATCTCTTGATCTCTTGGTCTGGGCAATGAATTTGGTTGTACTTCTTATTTGTGGCTAGGGTAACGGGTTGGGCATTGAATTAAACTTTTAAGTTTTCTTGTATACAAATATTTTTTCTACTAATGATCTATTTATTTCCTTATTCTTTTAATATTAATTTTATGTAATATTCTCTTGTGCTACCAATACAACGTATTTGATTTCTTTACCCTACCTAAGGGACGTCTTGGTTGCGGATTAGACTTCAATTATGCCATGTATGTACGGCTAAGGGATTGGATTGTCAATTTTTAGTTTTGTCTATGTTTTAATATTCTCTTTAATTCTCTTAGTTGGGGGAGAGTTTGGTGTTCGGTTGTGTTGCTTATTTGTTGATATGGAGTTAGTCATTCAATTAGACATTTTATAAGTTTGGTCATTTATTAATCTTTTCCAACTCCTATTTTTTATTTATGCTTTTAATTTGATTTCTTGTATAACTTCGTGCTCCCCTATACAATTCGTCCTATTTATTTTATTTATTTCTTGCTCTGCTTTGGGATATCTTGGTTTGTGCAATGAAATTGGTTGTGCTACCTTTTGGTGGCTAACGGATTGGATATTCGATTATATTTTCAAGTTTTCTCATATACTAATATTTTCTTAACCACAATCTCTTTATTTTCTTTTTCTTTCAATATTGATTTTTTGTCCTATCCTCTTGTGTGTTATCAATACAGCCCATCCGATTTCTTCGCCCTACCTTAGGGGACGTCTTTGTTGGGGCTTTGAGTTCGTTTGTGCTATGTATTTGTAGCTAAGAGGTTGGATATCCGATTATAATTTTAGATTTGCCATCTTTGATGTGTTGGTACTACGGTAGCATGAAACTCGTTTTGGACCCTAGATTGGACGTGACCTGTGACTTGTAGATTCGATTGCGATAAGAGTTAAAAAATTTCCAATAAACTATATTGTTTTATTTTGGAGACCTGGTACCTTAAATCTCAAACTTTTGTTTCATTCTGTTTTGCTCTTAGTATAATTTATTGATTTCGTTTGCTTTTGTCTTTGAATTTGATTGTGCTACCTATAATTTTTTTTTTCGGGGGTGGGAGAGAGGTCGGTGTTCGAGTATATATATATATGTGTGTGTGTAGAAATATTTCCTTGTTAGCTACTCATTGTTTCCTTTATAACTTTTATCGTTTTCCCTTTTCTTATGCCATCAATATGCTTCACATCAATATCCTCCATTTGATTTCTTAACTCTTGTATTACTCTTATGGCATGATTGGTATAATAAAATGAAATTTCGTAGGAATGAAATGAATGGAAGAATGAAATGATTATGGGAATGGAATGAAACAAGTTTTGTCATTCATGCGTTTGGTATGCAGAAGGAATATGACTTGAATGGAATGACATTATCATTTCTTATTATAAAAATAAATAAAAGCTTTCTTTAAAAAATAATATACTTTTAATAGATTATATATAAATGCTTTTTAATCCTCCTTATATATTAATTCAGAACGCGCTGAGCCTATGTGGCAGGTTCGCATGCTTCGGAATCCTATGTGGCAAAATTACATGATTCGTTATTAGGTTCGGATTATCTATAAATATGTTGATTATTTACTATAGGGGCGCGGTCCGGGACGGTCCTGAATTTGACTTGTCCGGATACTGATCCCACTTTTATGAATCAATTATGAACGGTTCGGGATGAGACACTGTCCTCACCCATGTAATACATGGGTGTTGTACTAATAATATATTAAAATAAAATAATATATTTTTAATAATATAAAAAATAATATATTCTTAAAAGTGTATATTTTTAATATATAAAAATAATATATTTTTAATAATATATAAAAATAAAAAGTAATATAATATTTAATAATACATATTTTATTTTGTAATTTAAACAATAAATAAAATTAAATTTTCAATTTTTGAATTTTATTTTTAAAATAATATATTTTTAATAATATTTAAAAATAAAAATTAATATATTTTTAATAATATATATTTTTAATATTTTTTAATAATATATTTTTAAAAGTATTATATTTTTAATATATATAAAATAATATATTTTCAATAATATATAAAAATAAAATAATATATTTTTAAATTTTATGTAAATGCTTTTTTTAGTTTTATTTTTACATAAGTATTTAATATATCTTATTAAAAAATAAATAATAGTAAGATTTTTCAAGTTTTTATTTGAATTTTATTTAATATACTTTAATCAAGAGTTATAATATATATTATAGTTTTATTATTATTAGTTAATTTTATTTTTTGAAAATTGATTCCTACACACATGGAATGAGAAAACCTTACATTTTCTATGGAATGGCTAATCCCATGGAGATGGGTTTTGCCATTCCCATTGGAATAGACATTCCTTTTTAAAAATTATACCAATCATGGGATAAAGAATAAGTAAGGAATGATCATTCCATTCCCATGTCATTCTTTCCTACCAATCATGCCATTATGCTATTAACACGACCAATTTCTTGCTCCTCTGGGCAATGAATTTGGTTGTACTTCTTATTTGTGTGGCTAGGCTAACGGGTTGGACATTGAATTAAACTTTTAAGTTTTCTTATATACAAATATTTTTTCTACTAACGATCTATTTATTTCCTTATTCTTTTAAATATTAATATTAATTTTATGTAATATTCTCTTATGCTACCAATACAACATATCTGATTTCTTTGCCCTCCCTAAGGGGACGTCTTGGTTGGGGCTTAGACTTCAATTGTGCTATGTATATACGGCTAAAGGATTAGACTGTCAATTTTTTTAGTTTTGTCTATGTTCTAATATTCTCTTTAATTCTCTTAGTTGGTGGAGAGTTTGGTGTTCGGTTGTGTTGCTTATTTGTGGATATGGAGTTAGTCATTCAATTAGACATTTTTATTAGTTTGGTCATGTATTAATATTTTCCAACTCCTATTTTTTATTTATGCTTTTAATTTGATTTATTGTATAACTCTCGTGATACAGTTCGTCCTATTTATTTCTTGCCCTGCTTTGGGGATATCTTGGTTTGTGCAATGAATTAGGTTGTGCTACCTTTTGGTGGCTAAGGGATTGGATATTCGATTATACTTTTAAGTTTTCTCATATACTAATATTTTCTTAACCACAGTCTCTTTATTTTCTTTTTCTTTTAATATTGATTTTTTGTCCTATCCTCTTGTGTTATCAATACAGCCCATCCGATTTCTTCGCCCTACCTTAGGGGACGTCTTTGTTGGGGCTTTGAGTTCGATTGTGCTATGTATTTGTAGCTAAGAGGTTGGATATTCGATTATAATTTTTGATTTGCTATTTTTGATTTGTCGGTACTACGGTATCATGAAACTCGTTTTGGGCCCTAGATTGGACGTGTCCTGTGACTTGTAGATTCGATTGCGATAAGGTTAAAAATTTTCCAATAAACTGTATTCTTTTATTTTGGAGACCTGGAATTTTCAATCTTAAACTTTTTGTTTCATTCTCTTTTTGCTCTTAGTATAATTTATTGATTTCCTTTGCTTTTTGTCTTTGAATTTGATTGTGCTACCTATAATTCTTTTTTTCGGGGGTGGGACTTGGGAGAGAGGTCGGTGTTCGAGTATATATATATATGTGTGTGTAGAAATATTTCCTTGTTAATTACTCCTTGTTTCCTTTATAACTCTGATCATTTTGTTCCCTTTTTTTATGCCATCAATATGCTTCATTTGATTTCTTTGTGAATGAAGTTCTGCCTAGACATTCAGTTAGATTTTTTATTGGTTTGGTCTATGTACTAATATTTTCGAGCTGAGATCCTGTTTTTTCTTTATACTTTTAATTTTGATCTCTTGTATTACTCTCATGCTACCAATACAACCAATGTCTTGCTCTGTCTTGCGATGTGTTGGTGTGAATTGGGTTGTGCTTCTTATTTGTGGTTAGGCTAACTGGTGGACATTTAATTAATCTTGTAAGTTTTCTTATCTATTGTCTCTGTCTATTGTCTCTTATATTATAATATAAAGGAGTTTTGAGCACTGTTTCATAAATTATTTTTTTATTCAATGCTGCCTCCTAATGAAGCCACGTTTCCTCTCTTAATTTTTTTTCCCCACAATTTTTTATTTGTTTCTTATGGGTGTTCTTGCCAAAACGGTACCGTTCAAAAATGAAAAGATTCAAAATGAAAAGAAACACGCCTTTTACCTAAAAACCCTAACTAACACGATAACTTTGTCCCCTTATAATTCTGCCGTTGTAGCCACCGCAATACATAACCGAAGGGCCATGTAGACTATTTCTTCATGCCCTCAAAATTTTGCCACCACGCTACATACTAACCGGAGGGTCGTCGGTTCTACGCGACTTCAACTTGCTTTGAATTCTGAGTGTCATTCAAGATCCTGTGCGACGGCATTTTCGTGCATCACCTTTTAGTCAATGGGATCACCTCGGCTGATATTGGTGCTGCCGCCAAAATGTTCACTACCAGTCTACCAGGTACGCTTGGGCATTGTTTTTTATTTTTTATTTTTTATTTTGTTAATTTATTTTGTCCATTTGTTCTATCTCTCTTCGTTGATTAGGACAAGAACTAAAATTATACATGGCATTCGATAACAAATGTATTCTTGCTAAGTTGAGAAGATTAGGCTATTCTTATTCCGATTCGGTAAATGTTGTTTGAAATCTGATGACTGCGAGGTGAACTGTTTGTTATTTTGTTCGTCTGCTATTGTTTCATGTTACTTTATAAATTCTTATTAGGTTGACAAATGCGAGTAATGTGCCTTCATTATTTTTAACCAAATAGAATGTAACAAGTACTGAACGGTATCATTCTGTGCCACCTTAACTCAGAGAGGCGTGGTTCTTAACCGATATCAAACTATTTGGGCATTATAAATTGATGATATTGTATTTGTATTTGCACGAATTGATATAGTGAAGAGGAACCATATGTAGCGTTAGACATGCTTATACACAGCTAAGTTTCTGCCATTATCTATTATGATAGTCGAGCAAACTATGCACATGAATCGCGAACTGCTTAGTTTTCAAATACCTTCAGTCATATGAGCAGTTCTCTAATTACCTTACATCCCAGCCTGCTTAAAGTTTTTACCTCTAGAAAAACCATATATCCTGTCAATCCCAACCATTATTCAACATTGTAGCCTTGGTTCTCAGGGACACTCTAATATGTCCGATCTCGCCTGAATTAAAAACAAAAAAAGAATTGCATCTTAGTGATGACGTCCACCATAGAAGAAGACTTTTTGGTGCCGTCGGAGGTTAGAGAGATTGATGGTCAGATTCACATTTCTTCATTTTCATTCGCGAATTTCAGAATTGGATTTTTAATAATTTTACAAAAAAAGACATATACTATACATATAGATTTTGGATTCTATTTTTGAGTTTGAAAAATACTTGTAGTTCATGTTAAGAAGAATAAGATGAAGAATGTCACTTTTCTTGCTTTTCAATAAGAGTTGAATTTTCCAAAAAATCAAAATTTTGTGCACTAGACCAATGAGTTTGGCACTTTCTTTAATTATTTATTATCCATTAATATTTGAATATTTCTTCATAAGCACTCAAATGAATAAGAGCTGAGAATATCTCCTCTTGTTTTATTATTTACTTCAATTTTGTGCTTAATATTATAATTGGAGTTATTGGCCAGTAGGCATCCACTTAAATTTTTGAATCTATAGGAGAGATTCTTAGTAGTGATGTTGACAATTTCTTTCGATGGTAACGTTTACTGTTTTTCATTTTTTTTTATTTTTTTATTTTTTTTCCTTGAGTATGTAAGTTGCAATGGGGTTTTGAATAAGAGTGATTAAGTTTGAGAAATACTCCTTTTGAATTGAGATTGTGTTTGTCTTGTGTTTGTTGCTTGGGGTTTGATGTAGCCAACACTTACGAAAGCTTCATTCTTTTCTTTTTCTTTGTTAAGTTAATTTTGTTTTCATCACTCATCAGGATTGACTTCCTAATTTTGGATTTGAAAATAAATTGATTGAATGTATTGATAGTTTAATTGATTAGTATTTGATTGACATCGGTCAGTTTGTGGTTGATGAGAAAATATAGCATAAACATCTGTCAATAAAATAAAAGTTGGTGTTCATGATTAGTACATAGAAAAAAGCTTGAGGTAAGGTACCTTTTCATTTGTTAAAAATCTTATGCCACAGTTTATTCTGGTTGTTCATCCTCGTCGAAATTTTTCAGAAAGTTTTTCAGGTATTCAAATGAGTATAGAACGAGACCCATTGTTTTGGACTATGATATATTGACAATTATATTCCAAATTCTTATATGCTTGAATTATTGGAATATTCAGAAAAAATGTAAACAAAACTAAAACTTCTTTCATATTCTTGTTCATGTTAACATGTGAATATATGTGTAAAGTTTTTTTTTTTTTTGCATATCCGGAAATGTTGGGCCATGGTGCATTATAATGTTAGATGGTTTTCTTTTTTTCTCTTTCATTTCTTCCATTTTGTGTGGTTATAAAAACTTCGGTGCAGGAAAATGAAAAGCAACAGGAGTCCAATTCTTTTATGTTTTTAACTTGCTCCACATGTTATCAAAATAGTTTGTCATTTGTATTTATAGCTCTGTGTATACTAAGGCGTTTTAACTATGTAATTTAGTACTTTTTTATAGGTTTCATCCTATGCAGACTTGTTTGAGCATTGTATAGATAGTGGTTGTTTCTTATTAAGCTAGCATGCACAAAACATAATCCTTTTGCATAGAGCATGATGGAACAAAAATATCAAGAGATACAATCTCTAAGTTGATGTCTTTGTCAATCATGATTATGTAGAGCTAAAGGTGAAAAAGTTCATTATAATAAAGACTAAAATCATATTATTATTACTATTTTGAGTTTGGGGCTTGGTTGGTTCTCGTGCTAAAATAATTATTAATAGAACTTCAGGCTGGTAGAAAGAGATTAGAGGGACGTTAATTGAGCTGGTGATAATACACTTGTGTTTTGACCAACTCTTCTATTACATGGGTGGACTTCCTCATGTCATTTCCAATATTTTTTTGTAAGAACTATTTTTCTTGGCATGCATTCTTTAATTTAGAGACTTTTGTTTTAATTCAATTGCTATATGCCTTCTCTTTGAATGTTTTAGTTGGTTGATGGTATAATTTTCCATAGTAAGAGAATGATATATTATCACTATGTATATAATAGTTTTTTCTCAAATAATACTTGGAAGATGCTTTATGTTTTTGTACGTTCCAACTTCATGCGATACCAATAGTTATATTTTCTGCATGATAATAACACTTATAAAATAATAGTTTTTACTATATGAAAAGTATTATTTTCTAAATTATAATAACACTTATAAAATATCTATACTATTAGTTATACTTGGAAAAAAAGGTCTATATCGATGCCTCCTTAATTTTTTCCCCATTCTAAAGCCCCCTTTTCTTTGTATATTATCAAGATTCGGGGTCCAATTTGAAAAGATAGATGCGGGCCAAAATAGCCATTGACGCATGAACGAAGATTTCCAGTCGGCTTCTCAAACAACAAAAGCCTCTCATGTCAGTGCGATTAGGGTTTTCTGAATCCCACTCAAGTCAGTTTTCTTTATTCTTCTTGTTCTTTTATATTACTCGCAACATGCGAGTTAATTGCTTTCTTTATCATTGTTATCTGTATATGTTATCTCTAATTTCTCATGTTGTTCAATTACATGATCGGGATTTCTTTTTCCTCTTGTGCTTTATCTGAGTGAGACATAACATAGTGTTTACTTACTGTGGTCTTACTGCCTTAATTATCACGGGTCAAACCTTGTTGTGTATCAGTTTTTTTCAGAATTGCTAAAACTCTTTCACAGTGTGATTAGTTCTTTTTGCTTTCTCACATTTCTGAGTAAACTGTTTTTTGTATTTTTCCATATGGTTTTTAATTCTAGGTTTCTTGAGTAGTTTGATCTATCCCTTTGTTGTAATGGTTGGGATGCCTTTTGAAGTTGGTCTAAATTTGATTTCTGGTTGTATAGAGTTGATTGTTTGTCGTTGGTGATTGGATATGACGAAAAGTTGCTGGATGATTGAATTTTCTTTTGCTGTTTTTGTTCCTTTTCTTTTTAAGTATGACTTTTAAGCAAATCAGGAGAAATGGAAAGAAAAAACCTCTATTTGCTGCATAGATGAATAATTGAAAATATAATCTTATACCTTATTCAAAAAGGAAAATTTGTTAGAAGATATATTTCATATTTTTAAGTATTAGGTCAAGTATTGATACGCAGTACAATATGTTTCCTTTTGAATTGAGATCATAATATCAATGTAGATGTGTATATGTATAGTTACATGTCTAGGTAACTTGATTGCCTTTCCTAATTGTGTGATATTTGCAGAAAAGACTTTTACTTGGTGTCTTGTAGAAAATTTGAGTTGGCTTTCCTGTGCATCGGATGTTTTTCCTGTGTTTATGGAGTAGGTGTGATTTAGTTGCAAAATGACCAGGGGTGGTGAATAGCTATGAATGAGTATTAAAAGTAAATTTTCAATTTTTTGTATAAAGTGGTTGTTGATATGCTGATATGCTATATAGAGATCCTATTCCATTGAATAATTTTCTTGGTGTTTTCAATCTGCTATGTGGATGAGTTTGTCAGGGACACTCTGGGAACGATTGACTGATCTAATAATCTATTGCATTGTTCATTGGTCGATGTATACTGGGTGAATCTAGATTATAGAATTTTAATTCCCTATAGTTTTGTCTATATATAAATATTTTTCAACAACCGAGGTCCTGCTCTTTCTTTATGGTTTTGATTTTGATTTTTTGTACTAGTCTTGCTACAATACAATTCATCCAATTTCTTTCTCTGCCTTGGGGACTATTTGGTTTGGGCATTGAATTTGGTTCTGATACCTAATTTTTTTTATATATAGCGATCAATAATATTAAAAATTGTGTTTTGATATTTTTTTATATCTATTAATTAATTGTACATACTTGTTCTATTATAATGCATCATGTCATATAAGTTGTTAATACTCAACATATCAGAGCATATCGAGTTAGTTTTATTTTGTTGATCTTAGGACTCACATCTTATTTTCACACAAATCACATCAAAACTCATATATGAATTGAATATGCTCTCGGAATTGTTAAAAAGATGCCTCCCCAAGTATAAAAATTGTATCAAATAAGTGAAAAATATCTCTCGTCTCATTTCCCCCAAATCAGAAACCCTAGCCGCGTCTTTTCCTTCTCGTCTACGCCGCCTCCCACCGTTTGGCTCTCCACCTCGCAGCAGAGATGACCGAAATTTGGGCAATTTTCTTGCTGTTTTTCTGTTTTCGGTCCCAATTTTTGGTGTGGAGCCTTTGATGTGTTTTGCCGATGACTAGTCAAAGTTGCCTTTGGTGGTTGGTTCTAAGGCCGGTGGTGTTACCTCCCATGGATTCGGTCTTTCTCTGGGGTGGGGATGGACGGTCTCCTCCGGTGCTATGTTACATGGACTCGAGTACAGGTGTCGGATACGGGTACATATTCAAGTATCCGGTATTTATATTTTTAAAAATTAAGATACTGGGACAATTATCCAAACTTGGACACGGGTACATGGGTACGGCAGTCAGCATAATAAAATTAAAAAAAAAAATAATTTTACAACATTAATAGGAAAAAAAGGATATAGATCATTACAAATTTAGATAAGATAAATTGACATTTTGACTTAATTTTCTACTCATGTACATACTTGTGTGGTAAATTAATAAGAGAGAGCAATAAAGTAACATTTTAACTTAATTTTTTTACTCATTTTAACTTAAAATTAAAGGTACATATAATGTACGTTCCAATTAACTAGCCACAGTAATTTAAAGTTTAAAACTAACAACTTAAAAGCCCCATTAAATAAAAACTTAAAATCCCAGATTCAATTAAAAGCTAAATTAAAGCCCATTAGACTGATGTACATTCAATTAACCTAGACGTCTTAAAATTCACGCGTTTTAACTCAACAGTCGCCGCACTGTTTGCCCACGTCTTCTCTGTTGCCCTCCAACTTCCACCCATCGCCTTTCAAAGACATCTGTTGAGCCTGTCGCCTTCTAACTCTCAACAGTCGCCGCACTGTTTGTCTTCTACCCGCCCCACTGTTCGTCTTCTACCCGACCCGACAACATCAATGGTCAACGTATCCGGCCTCTTTTGACCAGATCGGAGCCGGATTTTGTACCGGTACCTGTGTCATGTCGTGTCGTGTCGACACGGGACGTCGGCAGTAGGTGGCGAGTCCGGGTAACATAGCTCCGGTGGACATGGGTCATTGTCGTCGAGTATTGTGTTGGGGGAGGTGACTGCTGCTGGGATCCAGGGAAAGCTACCTGAAGATGGTGACTGTGAAAGGGGACTTCGATTTTGGCAGTTTGGATCTAGTTAGCCTTAGTCGTTAACTTATGGAGTGGGGAGTTTCTAATTCTGTGTCGTGGTCGTGGTCTTGTCCTTCTTGGTGATCATTTTTTGGTTTATCTTCGTTGGTGTTGTTTTGGAATACCTTGCCGGTGGTGAAGGAGGGTTTTACCGTATAGTATTAGGAGGTTCTAATTTGTAGTTGTGTGTGTTTGTCTGTGGGTTTGTGGTGTTTTGTTTATTCTCCCTTATAGGAGTGTGTATTCTCCGCTCCCACACTCGTGGGAGCGTGTATTCTCCATTACTTGTGAGAATTTTTTTAGTTGTGTATTGTGATTGTGGTGTGGTATTTAGGCTACCATCTGTGTAGGCCTCCAATTAGATTCAACTGTGTAGCTGATTGATTCGGCTTTATACATGTTTTAGTTTGTAAATATGTGTTCCTATTATGTTTTAGGTAGACTCAGGTTTTTAATATATTACATTGAATTGAGTATGATCTTATTTTCCTTTGATTTATCCACAACATTTAAAATTTACTTATGTTACCATGACAAAACAAAATTGATCTCATATCTTTGTGGATGCCAAAGGAATCAAGTACAACTAGCTAGTTCATTGAAGATGAAATTAATGTATGCATAGCATACAGACCAACAATCTTAAACATCTGTATTTTATTCAAATTTTATTTTCGACAATGCTTAATCGATGGTTTAAGATCAATCTAAAAATTAACAAACTTTTTTATTGGAGAAAATAAGATTACCCTTCATTCAAATCAAAGTGGAATAGATCAAAGCTCATCAAAAGCTTTGGTTATTTCATGCAAATTGATAATAAACATGTGTTTTGGCAGCTACAGCTCAGCATGATGTGGTTTCTTAACTGGACATCCCTTTCCAACCCACGCAATATATCCTCCTCCCATGTTGTACACATGCTTGAAATCCTACCAAAACATTTTATATTGCAACGGAATTATAGATGTGAATAAGTCTATAATATAACATAATAATAAGCCAAAAGAAAAAAGATGGACGAATATAAAAATAAATAATATATGTGATGTAGCCTCCATAACAGTTTGGTGAACCGATTAGAGTAGTTAGCTCGGGTTAGCCGGTCCAGGATAGCTTTAGCTCAATAACAGGGTTTGACTTCGTCAGGGAGCTCAGTGCAGTAGCTTGAGATATGTGTCAGTGTTGATTATGATTTACGAGGTATAGAGCTGAGCTCATAGATAGATCGAATAAAGGAGGAAACTATATAGGGGTTGGTCATATAAGGTCGCAGAGCGACCTGGTAAAGAATATGGTGAAAGTATAAGGAGGTCGGTGCAACGACCTAAGGACCTAGAAAGTGATGATAAATAATGATACAGAATCCTCTTAAGATAACAAGTGCATCTTGCTTATAAATAGGGAATTAAACGTTTCATGTTGGGAAACGAGATATGAAAATATCCATTTCCTAGTAAAGAAGTTGTGTGGACAAGCACACAACCTCTTTGTAAAAGGAGATTCTCAGGTTCTTTTAAAGTTCGCATGAAGTGTACTTTGATATCCCAGTATATAGTTACGAACGAGATTTAACTTGAGCGTCGTAAATTTTTTCGCCATGACCCTTTCCAGTATATTTTATAAGGCATCGGAGCTCGAGTTCAGAGACGATTCGTGATACCGCGGGTTTAACCCAGGCCTAGAGATAATTTTTACATTAATATGTATTATTGAAACAAAATATGTTTGAAATTGCGTCTTCAAAAAATGCAAATAATTAAAGCTACTTTTATTAATTTACTTTAATGATGGAATTCATGAAATAGGCAATGAAGCTTTAATTATGTTATGAAGCTTTAATTTACTTGTCTATTTCCCTCACCTTTCAGTATGCTCTTTGTAAATGTTAGTACTACTGATTATTCATTTATTCTTTTAGNCAAATATAAAAAACCAATGATAGTCCTACGCACCATAGTTTTTAAATCCGGACCGGAAATCGACCCGGACAGGCCTTTGAGTCTCCGGGTCATCGGGTCAATTGTTGAACCGGTTAATTAATTTTAAATTTTAAAAGTCATATATAGAGTATTTTGTCATATAAATATACATAAAATTAAATGTTTGGTATATAAAATTTATACATTAAAGTGTTAATAATATATATTTCCTGATAAATATTTACCATATAAATATATGTACATAGTTTTATTTTTTACAAACAAGAAATATTTTAAAAGATAAAAAAATATATAGGGCTGTGTCAACCCAATGCTCCGGGTCGACCGGGTCATCGCCGGGTTTGACCGGGTCCTTTGTTGCCCTGTCCGATTAGCCCACCCGGACCGGTTCCGGCTCCGGGTCGACCGGGTCCCAGGTCAACCGGTCGGGCTGGTCCGGGTGTAAAAACACTGCTACGCGCTTGTTAACAAATATGGTTAGGCAAAACTAATTAATAATAGTTGATAAGTGAATTTAAAGCTTACATCTAATAGCTTACGACTTATGGTTGAAAAATATGATAAAAGTGTTTAGTAAAATCAATTGATAAGCCTACTGAAATAAAAATTTCAACTGTGTTATTTGAAAAGTTACCCAAAAAAACTTATGAAATAAGTTCAGAATTTTTTACTCGTCCTACCAAACTAAATTTATTTATATACAGAAAGCTATTATGCTATAAACTATAAGTTATAAGCTAATTTACGGTGCTTACCAAAACGCACTATTTATTTGTTACATTCAAATGTGATACTTTAACATCTGATTAGACCATCTGACCACACAATTATGAACTACCGAAATAAACTTACAGCGTTAAGAAGATCAATAGCAGCAGATTCTGACCGGGCACCACTCCGACAAACCTGAAAATTGAAATTGCATTAACTTAATACTTACTTTCAATAAATATTTATATGAATAATGATGATGATTTCTTCAGTAGTGGAAATAATAATAGTGATAATTATATTTACCAAAACAACATGATCTTCCTTGCCATAAAGGACCAAAACTTGAACCAAAAATCTGGGATTTTTCACCCTGCCTGGAGATTGAATGATCCCAAGATTGAGACCCAATAGAAATTGGATTCCATATACACAAATAAAACTAATATTAAAAGAACAATTAAAATTATAATGTCACCACCACCTTCTGGAGTACAAAACATGTAGGGAATGTTCAAAGAATTCTCCAAGTGACCCTCTTTGAATTCTTCCTCCGTCCTATTTTTAATTGATATATATTAAAAAGGTAATTAAGAGGGATATCCTAAATAAGTAGTAAAATAAACACGCAATATTAATTTCAATATGGAGAACAAGAACATTTTATACCAAAAATAATTATATATATATAACTCAATACACACACATACACATACCTGACATCAAGGCAGCGGTAGCCTTGACTAAGTAGATGTTTAGCTTCATCTACATCAACAGTCTTGACTTTTTCTCCATAACTACATAAAAATAAATAAAAATAAAAAATGCGCCACACGGACATGTAAATATGTGGAATGTGTGTTTATTTGGTACAAAATAAGTAATTTTATTCATTTACCTTTCCTTGATTTGGTCCATGTTAGTGAAAATCAACTCTTTTATTTTTTGAAACTTTTGTTGTTTGATTGATTTCCGATTGAAGGGTTGTGCAAATTAAGTTATGGAGTTGTGGGTTTGTTGTAGTAGGTGACTGCTTTGGGTCTAGGTGATGGCAATGACACCCCCAAATTACTATTAAAAAAAAATAATAATAAATAAATAAATAAATACCGGAATATATATATATGCGAATCTCAATTATTATCTCCAATCTGGTAATATTTAAATGGATTTGAACCCAAAAGAAATGGATCAATAAAAGTAAGTTAAAATCTGGAGTGGGTCTAATTTTGTAACGATTTATTACGAGAATCTATATATATATATATATATATATATATATATATATATATAATTGTTGGCTCATGAGCATTTAATAAAACTTATTAAATTATACTTATGTGACAATATAATTTTTTCCGTCCAAAAACTGTTTTAATCTCTCATTTAATTATTAGATAATCAACACACTAATCACTTCAAAATTACAAAAATTATTTTAAACTTTTGATTTACTTACAGCTGACCATATAATGTGTTGACTATTTAACGTGATTAGATGTCATTGTTGTAGTTACATTTAAATTAACTTCTTTTGGAAAATAAAAAACGTATTTGAAATTCCTAAATAAATAATAAATAATTCAGAAAAAAATACATACCAAAATATATATTACATCCAATATGATAAACGTAATTTTAAAAAATAAATATTCCAACTCCTTTAATTGTAAATTAGGCCTGCAAAAAAGTGCAAGAAAAATCATTAAACATTATATGCATACAAATAAATTACAATACTTTATTTATATTGTGCAAATGCATAGATCGCATACTAGTATTCCTAATATTAGAGAAACAATTGAGATTTATTGATAAAGTTAAATTTGAGTAGTTGTTTGATGGCTCCATAAGGGAAACCTCCATGGCTCCATAACATTGGCCATCCAACGACGGTTTTGTTATGGAGCCATCGGATGGCTCAGCTTATGGAGCCATCCATAGTTATCCACAAATGGTGTATTGACACGTGTCCTGCAATAAATACACATTGGACACGTGTCATTACATAAAGTTATGGATGGCTCCATAAAGGAAACATCCGATGGCTCCATAGCATTGGCCATCCAACGACGGTTTTGTTATGGAGTCATCGGATGGCTCAGCTTATGGAGCCATCCATAGTTATCCACAAATGGTGTATTGACACGTGTCCTGCAATAAATACACATTGTACACGTGTCATTACATAAAGTTATAGATGGCTCCATAAGGGAAACATCCAATGGCTCCATAGCATTGGCCATCCAACGACGGTTTTGTTATGGAGCCATCGGATGGCTCAGCTTATGGAGTCATCCATAGTTATCCACAAATGGTGTATTGACAAGTGTCCTGCAATAAATACACATTGGACACGTGTCATTACATAAAGTTATGGATGGCTCCATAAGGGAAACATCCAATGGCTCCATATCATTGGCCATCCAACAAAGGTTTTGTTATGGAGCCATCGGATGGCTCAGTTTATAGAGCCATCCATAGTTATCTACAAATGGTGTATTGACACGTGTCATGCAATAAATACACATTAGACACGTGTCATTACATAAAGTTATGGATGGCTCCATAAGGGAAACATTCGATGGCTCCATAACATTGGCCCTCCTTTGATATTTATGATTTGTCACAAACCGATGACGTTTTAAATTTTTTATTGATGAATTAAATGTGGCCTTGAATGGACACATGCATTCTTATTAAATTTCTCTTGTCCCACATTTTTCTTTAAAATTAGTTACTTTTTACAAATATTGACGTGGGCAAGCAAACAATAAAATATTTTAGCATCAACTATATAAACTTATAGAATGTCATTTGTCGACTTGTATTCAACTTTGATGTTTATATTTGTTAGATATCGGTTATATGTCTATATTCTGAGATTTTCTAAGAAACTAGCTAGCTAGTGGTATAAAATTGATGATACTCGTTAATAATTATCCTATCTCTCGAATAAAACTCCAACAAACAATTAATGGTAACGGACAACTGAACATATAGAGTTTTCCACCTTACAAAAGGTTATTATTGTTCATGATATAATATATTATTAATATAAAAGATTTTATATTCCAAATTTATATTTTAATTTATGTTTACGTATACAATAGTGGCGTCGTTATACACGTATTACTTATCCAATACATTAAAAAATAATTTGACATACGACTTTGGAACAGAAAAATTTTATTTTATTATTGATTAATGTTAGGACCAACAATTGAAGCTCAGTTCTTCATCAAGCCGGTCATACAAGCTCAAATGAGATTCCATTTTTAAATTAATTGACAATAGAAGGAGTACCCCCACCAAACTTATATACCGAACTTGCAACCTTTAATTTTTCAATGTGAGATTGAGTTTGCACATCCTACAAACTTTTCCTCAAACACAAGACCACATACTTGGGCCTCCCTTTGAACAAAATTCATACGATCCGACCATTTTTTGTACCGTCGTTATCACTTGGGCCTCTCTTTGAACGAAATTTATACGATCCGACCATCTTGTACCGTCGTTATCACCCACGGAACACGCCGTCTGACCACCCTTTCACCAGGAAGACTTTCGACACAAGGCACATGTATCCATCGGCCCTCCACTGGCTCCACGGGGAACATGCCACGTCATCCACATTGCAACTGGACTACTAACTATGGCTCTGATACCAATTGTTAGGACCAACAACTCAAGTCCAATTCTCCATCAAGCCCAACATACAAGTCTAAATGGAGTTCCATTCTAAGACCAATTGGTAATAGAAGGAGTAGCCTACCAAGCTTATATATTGGAATTGCATCCTTTAATTTTTCGATGTGATGAGATTGTATTTGCACACCCTACAATCATATCACTTGGAGAAAATAATTTGATTTAAAAATGGAGCCATCCTCTATCCTTCTAAAACAAAAACAATATACGTGTTCTGATTTGAAATGCATCCTTTAATCTCGTGATTATAACCCTAAATAGCACTACCATAGTTGCGTCTAGAGCTATTAAAGAGAACAAGTCAATGAGCTATGCTCGTCAAGTTCGAACTAGTTCAGTTAACGAGTGAGTCGAGTTAGGTACGTTAATTGTTGTAGCAAATTATGTTTTTTATCGAGGACGAGATGAATTTTGATCTCGGGACGATCACTCGAGAAAGGCAGTTCGAAATCTAGAATTAATGTCGATCACACAGTAATTGAAAATAAGGTTATAAACATTCTAATCACGGAGGGATTGATGAAATAAACTAAAAACTATTAAGAAGTAGAAAAGCGAATAAATAACAATTAGAGAAAGAGAAGAAATTCTAGGACGTCGGGGTATCTCATCAAGTCCTAAATCTATGTTGAACGTCAATTTGTTCGTTTATGTCTAGAGGTTTACGTTCAATAACTCTTCGTTATAACAAGAGAACAAACATAAATGCAAAATTGGGGAAGCAAATAATACGTAGGCAATAGAACTACAAACAAGCATACCCTATGTGAGTCTAGGTCGAACAAATTCTTCCCGGTTCTAATTAATGTTGTTTAATTAAATAGATTAGACAGTGATCAATCGATTAACCCTAAGAATTAAGCAACTCGTACAAGATGAATAATCGCACATTCAACCAAATTCGAGAGAAGAATGAAATCTCTAGCCCTAGGTGGATGAATTACCTCATGTTTGAATTCGAATTCACGTTAATAGCTAGAAACAACTCATTGAATAACAATAATAATTGAAAAATAAAACTTACAATCGGTTGAGGAATTGCAAGAGCTCAATCCCAACATAATATATCCCAAGAATCCAAACACGGAGGCAACGAAAGAAAATGGAGAAAAATCCTACGAAATTATATTTACGAGCCGGGGTTTTGGTGTCCGGAAGCCTTCAAATCAGTCATGAGATGTGATATCAATAAATTGATATTAAACTTTCCAAAAAATTTCAATCAATAATTCTAATTCTACTTTATATAGAATTTTAATTTTGAAAAATATAAATGAACGAATATGTTTATATATTAATCGATCCAAGGATAATTATTTGTAAATGAAAAAAAAAATATCTAAAATATTTTCTGAAATGCCTAGAATAAGAAAATTACCTAACTATGATTTTTTTTTTTCTATTTAAATTCCATATCATTGTCTGCTTTTTTTCCTTTCTAACAAACCAACAAATCATTTACATGTAAGTTATAACTTAGATAAAAAATTAAAAATATTTGTATTATATATCGTTATAAATTGTAATGATAAACCAATGAGTTATCTGTCGAACAACGATGTAAATTATTACCCTTTTTTTATAGAATCAATGTGGGACAACTCACAAGTGATACTCCAACAGTTATTTAAACAGTACACAGTGTACAAAACTAGTTTCCTATTGAATCAAATTACATAACATGATATTTAAATGTATATATGTACATAATATTTTATGCCTGATGATATTTACATTTTTATATGGGCATGGCTCATCTAAATAAATATTCAAATAGATTCTATACATTGAGAGAATATACACCTTCATCTAAAACTATTTTATACCACTAAAATTACTACTAATATATATTTTAAATTTTAGTTTCATTGAAAACCGAATTATACATTCATAGCATGTTTTAGTGAGTTGGTTTACTATGCGAAACCAACTTTTGGATGCTTGCAACCGGATCAAATTTTGTAACCCATCTACATAAGTCAATTGCTGACCAATTATTTTTTTCTGTAAAAGTATATGAGGTTATTAGTTTATAGAATCACATACTTATGTCATACATAGACCACCAAATTTTAAAAATAGAGGACATGTAACACGCAATTAGTTTGTGACTAATTAACAATAGAGCTCCTTATTACCAAAACGTTACTTGATTTTACAGAAAGAATCATTCACCAAAACATTGTATATAAATTTGGAAAAATGAAAATGATGCATGATGAGTTTCTCTAGTTTAATTATCAAGTTATATGTGCTAATTATTAGTGTTTTGTAATTATATGTGTTGCATTATTATTGTATTTAGGAGAAATTTATGCCTATAAGAACCTTCAAAATTGTAAAATTGTAATCAACGTCATAACTTATTTTTTTGTCACCCAAAAAGCTTACGTCAACGAAAATCCCATTTCACCTCCGCACGTTGTCCCTCTCACCAAACATGTTAACCACACATACACATAAACTCTTGTTATCATTCGACTTTTAAAGCTCCAAAATCAACAAACCACTTATCCAAACAAATGGCCCGTAACAAAGACAGCCTAATTCGTTGGACAGCCATCAAGGGAAAGCTCTTTCTCCGATCCTCTAAGCCATCCACTCTTTTCCACATCGTTCATACCAACAATGTGGAAGACCTTGCCGCCATCGTTATTCAATCATTGTTTAGGGGCCATCTTGTAAATATACTCTCTACTTCCTTTCGAAAAAGATACTTTTATTGACTAACATGTTTAATTATCTCATTCGATCAATGTGTAGGCGAGACGAGCATACAGGGCACTGAGAAGCCTGGTGAAGCTACAAGCCGTTGTTCGTGGAGTGGTGGTGAGAAGGCAAGCACGTATTGCCCTCCACTGCATGCATGCACTTGCTCGACTTCAGGTTACTGTGCGGGCCCGCCAGCTGCTACTCATCAACAGCTAATTAATTAATCGCGATTTTCTGAGTTTGTAATTCATCTCTCTCTTCCTGTTTTGTGTGTAAAAGTTTCTTGAAATGCGCGCTCTGGTTTTGTAAAAGGACATGCAACTTTGAAATTTGTTTGGAGCAGATATTATAGTTGAAGCTAGCAAATATGGATTTGTGTCTGTTACATTGGATCCCAGTAAGAAAAGAACGGAACTTGATTATGTGGCTAGTTTAGCTCTGTTTCTCTATCCATTAACCATACATTCTCTCTTGGATAATTTTTGGCATTTTCGATAAATGCTTTGTATATCCACCTCTTCTGTATTTTGGGTTCACCCAAGGGGCACAAAAAACTGTGTCTTCAACTTTCTAGCAATAGCCACTGGTTCAAAGCTGCAAAGACGCGAAAAATGCTGTCTACCTTCTTTGTCGATTGATTAGCCATCACTAGTTGAGTTATAAATCATATATAATTTTGTTCGTCAGACAACCCTAAATCAATTTTTATCTTACGAGATGGAATCTGACAACTTGAAAACTTATATAGCAAATATCAGAAATCAAGTACTTTGCGAGGTATAAAAAAATCCCCTATAATTTAATTCGGGGCTTTAGTAAAATTGCAAGAACTTCTCTTTAAGGGGTCAATTTGTGCCCTTCATTTCCAATTTGTAAAATTCACTAAGCTGCAGTCCATCTGTCCATGATACTACTTTTGTCTCAGCTGCATACTATTGGTTGTTCACATACTATTGGTTGTTCACAATGTTATGTATAACATGGTTATCATAACCTTAAGGCAGACAAAAATATCAGCCTTCAAAACTTAACAACTTTTGCATCTGAGTCAACAGATAGAAGTCTCAGCAGCATGATATAACTCGGCCATGAAAAAAATACACAACTCACACATCATGGAATCTGGTCCCATGACTACTTGCCCAGAAAAAATACCCTCAATCACAAGAGATAAGGTCAAAACCAAAAAACATGTATGTACTTATATATCTCATCAGATTTGCAAATTTCAAGTTAAGCATCAAACACAATGAAGTATATGGATTTCTAGGCAAGTGTGACATCACCATATTAGTATCTACTTTTGACAAGTTACATAAGCATAGATGCAAACCCCACTATAAACAAACTGAACACAAAATTCAGACCACTCCAAAGCCAAGCAGTTTTGATTACGGATAACTGTACAAAACTAGTATAGTAATACATTATTTAAACGAACACCTAACAGCACAAGAACTCCATCATGCTTCAAGATAATTATGAAACCAGGCCCCACCTACATGAAGTTCCACAGAGTGGGGGATGTCCATATATACACAAGCAAAAGGTTTACCAAAAAGGAAATAACACAGCCTGCAGAGTTCAACGGAGTTTGTTCTGAGCAACAGCCTGGCAAAGCTCATCCTCGTAAAATAGGACTCTGTTGGAACCCAACGATTTGCAGAGAGGCTTCTGCAAAACTGACGGCACGAAACACTTGGAAGAATATGAAGACTCCTGGAAAAGAACGGCAGCAATCTGCCGCATCTCGGTGAACTTCAAACGAGAGGGTGGCCGGGGACCATGTTTAGGTGCCTTTGGTGTGTGGGGGCTGACAATCGACAACCCTTTTCCATTTCTCTTGCTGCAATATTTTTTTTTTATTTTTTTAGATAATATAAGGAATTCAACAGATTTGACAGACAATATTCTGGGACCTGAAAACTCATACCTCATGAAAGGCCAGTGATCAGTTGGGAGTGGAGTAACTGTATTCAGCATCTCTTGCCTTGATCTATCTGGTGTGGTATAATTGAAGTGGAATTGTCTTGCTATCACAACCTTTGAAGAAAAATTAAGTGTAAGTATTTTTACTTCATATAGCCAGTGTAAGCAGAAACACAAAGCTTTGGTTGAAGAACTTACTGCCTTTCTAATTTTCTGTGAGACGTGGAAAACTGCTCTAAGTTGATCATGGTGCAGGTGACAAAGAATTTTCACCTGAATTACCACTTGGATATGTCAGAATAAATCCTCATCAAGAGAAGGACGCCAAGCATTAAGATAAATAAATGTGCCCAGTAGTCACTGCCACCTCTTAATGGGAAATATTTAAACCTCTATTTTATTTTATTTTTTTCATTTTTATATATAGGGGGGATTCAATCTATCACCATTATTTCCTTCATTATTGAATTCTTATAACCTTGAGCGATAGAATGGAATTAGTAACGTTCACATAGAGAATCTTCATATAAATATGAGGTAATTACAGATCAGTATGTTAAGTCAGTGGTTTGACTGAATTGGCATTGAACGAATAGTTCCTGCCATGTTGGCCTGTATTGAGTGTATTCAAATCCTTGATTTTATCAACCTATAATATTAAGCTTATCTTCGACTAGTTCGTAGTCAGTGTGGGAAGATATAATCTTGACTGTTTAATTTTCACACACTAGTAGAAATGCGTACTTGATTATAATGCAAACTTGAGAAAGCCAACAACAAGAATATTAAATTTTTCAACTGATGAAATTTCAAGATCTCCAAGAGAAATTTGGTCAGCATTTGAAGGGTTTACATCAAACTGAATCCTTTAGAGGTTATTTCCAGATAGTTCATCGATTGACTTTTATGAGTAACTATTTACTAGTTGGTAAAATAAGTGATCATTTGCAGGTAGTGGCCTCAGGCAATAGAGTGCATTTTTATGAAAAACGCATGAAAAATCTGTGTCACTTTTTTCTGCCATATATATACTTTTCAGCATTTGTTCAAGCAAAAAGGAATAAGTTTGACCAGTACATGACATGGGTTTCAAAACTAACAAGCACGCAATCAGAGACCACCTCATTCATTAGCCATGACTATAAAATGTTAAAGTTATTTTTCCAAAGATGACAGATAACGGATATTCCTATTGTTATCAACAATGCAAGCTTACACCATGCCCTTTCAAATACGTTAACCAATAATAAGTTGCTATTGATTGACTGTAAGAACTCACTCGAATGAATATACATTTGCAAATCATACCACACATTAAATGTTTTACTATATCTAAGTTATTAAACAGCCAGTCAGAGTGAATTCAAAAAATGCTCAAATACCAGTAAATCCATAGGGAGAGATTCAAGCCTCGACTCGCACTCGGATTGTCCGGCATAAGGAGTCCTGGGGGTGCTCTGTAAATTAACCGGGCTGAACAGCTCGGCGGGACCACGTAAAGGTGCAAACTGGAATCTTACGGGAGAAAAAGGTGTGGTGGGACTAACATCTGTGTTTTTTACTTGGGGAATCTCAGGACGTGCATCTTCAGCCTGCTTGGCATTTAAAAGCTCAACTCTTTTCTTTCCCAAATCTGTACAAGATTTAGAAGCTGATGCCTTGGTATTTCGTAGCTGGGCAAGGGCACCAGGTTTCAAATACTTGCCTTTTGAATTCCTCATCCGCCTCTTTTGTCTACCACTTTTTGGTTGCCGGTCATTTGGAGATACTTTGCCCATGATGTTGGCCTCCTACTATTTCTCGATTTTGGAAAAAAAATCTCTAAAAAATTATCCCTTGTTTCAAGGTATCTACTTTTTTTCAGTTACCTGCAATCAAATGTAGGACAGACAAATAACATGAGAAAATCATAAATGAGATCCCGAGAAAAACTAATCGATTTCGGGGAATTAACAAAATCAAAGGAAGATTTAGAAAAAATGGCAAAACTTCAAAGAACTCCCGATGTTCACTGCACAACAGTAACCGATTGTTTTACCCAGCTTTTACTCTATCAGCAACAAATTCACTTTACAAGGTCAGAGCTAAAAATGAAAATAAAAGGAAAAAACAAAGCCTTGCAGCCGATAAAACACAAGAGAGAAATATCCTAGCAATAGGAGTACGGAAACCCTAAAAGCGATAATTCACATCTGAGAGAGAACCCAACAAAAACCAAACTTTTACAGCACAAAAAACAGACGCAATTAATTGAAATTACAAACCTTGGAAATCACTGCTCCATGGTTGAGCAGGCGGCAGAACAGAGGAACTTTCACGATGTAAACAGTAAAAGCTAGAGAGAGAGTTTGTGTGTGTTACGCCGCGTAGAGAGAGAAATGGGAGGGAGGGAAAAGAGGAGGGAGGGAAAATGGGGTAAAGCAAAAAGAGGCAGGCTAGGGTTTTGCTTTTTTGTCAAAATGAATTTTTGAATCAGTGGATTTGCCCGCCATTTTTTGGAGCAACAGTTTCCTATATTGGACACAGTAACTGCAGATTTGATCAAAGCTTACGTGGCGATGTGACAGAGAATCCCGTGCCACAATGTCGGGGTACAGAATCGGAATCCTAAAAAAGAGCATGTTACCACTCAAAATAGATTTTTTTTTGCTTAATCACAATTAGTTTTAAAAAGTTAGGACGTGCTTGTTTACAAACTAATTCGTCTAAAATGAGTTTTTTTCAATCAAAGTTAATTTTAAAAAATATGATATGATTAGTCGTTAGTGATATTTTTTTGTTAAATTAAAATAATTTGAAATAAATAATTATAAGAGGAACATGATATAAAATGATGGTTAATTAAAATTATGTTACTTGATGAATAGTGAGTTAAAAAATTGGTGTGATGGGTAAGAATAATTAGATTTTATTATCTAACTATATGAATAATATAAAATATAGTGTTATTGAGTTAAAATTGAGTTATATTTTGAGTATTAATTAAATTTTAATGAGATAATTGGTAAACAATCACTCCATTAGTATAGTTAGTTGTTAGTGGGATTTTGAGTTTGTATTAAATTAATATTTAAAATAAAACAATTAAATTTGATTTGATGTAAAAGTAAACGAGATATGATAATATTTTAAATAAAATAATTAAAGTTCATTTGATGTAAAAGTAGGTAAGAGATGATGTTAAGTGATAGTTAGTTAAAATTATGTGAGTTGATGAATGTTGAATTAATGTTGATGTGATGTGTAAGAATGATCGATTGATATTATTTAATTATATTGATAATATTTAGGATATTGTAATTGAGTTAAAATTTGAGTATGAATTGAGATCATTTATAAATAAACACATCCTAAAAATTGTGAAAAGAGATTTTGGGAATGTGAGAATGTGTTTGTTTATAAAAATATGCATACTTATACTTAATTCATACTTAAAATTAAACTAACTCTAACCCAACTTCACTATACTCAATATTATTAATATAATTAAATAATATATATCAATTATTATTACACATCACATTAATTTTAATTCACTATTTATCAATTCACATAATTTGAATTATATATCACTTTAAATCTTTTATCTCATACTTTTACAATCAAATAAATTTTAATTATTTTATTTTAAATATTATTTAATACAAACTAATCTCGCTAACAACCAATCTTACCAATTTTTTTCAAAATTAATCACGATTAATAAAAAAATTAGTAAAAAACTATTAAATCAGTAAACAAGGACACCCCTATATATTATTAGGGTGTGTTTGGATACAAATATATTTATTCAAAATTAGTTTTTTTTTCTTAAGTAAGGTTAATTTTCAAAATATGGTATAATTAGTTCTTAATGGAATTTTTAGTTTATATTAAAATAATATTTTAAAATAAAATAATTAAACTTGATTGCATTTAAAAGTATGAGAAAGATGATGTGAAGTGGCAGTTAAAATTACGTGAATGGACGAATAATAAATTAAATTTCATATGATTTGTAAAAATATGATTGATTGATATTATTTAATTATATTAATGATATTAAAAATAGTAGAGTTGAATTGAAATTGAGCTAAATTTTGCGCATATATGCTACGGAACTTACTAATATCCTCTCAATTAACGAAACCTATATTATATATGATAAGAATTAGCATTTATCATAAATAGTAATAAGAAAAAGTCAACCCATATTAATTACATACTATTTTTAACTAATTTTTTTATTTTACGTTTTAATTCACTTCCCAAAAAATCGATTGGCCTTAAATGGTCTCTGTTTTTGTGCATCAAATTCACATGAGTGGATAAACATGCAAAAGTTGACTCATTTTTTATTCGAAAAAAACCAATTACANAAAAGAAAACCCGATTGCATTGTAAATCAACGCTCATTTAGAATCTAAAATTAAAATTCTACAATTCCTTAGTTTTTTGTTGACATAAAATCAAATGAATATTTTTAATTAGGAAAACAGTATTAGAGTTTTTTTTATATAAATAAACTACCTCAAAATTAAATATTATTATACTAATTGCAACAGTTTTTAGATTATATATCATATCTTATTTTATATAATTAAATATTAAAAATCGGTCATATTAAAAAATCAGGCATAGTAACAAACTTTATATCTTATCCTTTTATATATATTAAAAAGAAAAACTAATTGCAATAAAAATCGGATGCAATATTTAATTGATAATTTAAATTTCAAAATTCCTTGCAATTCGATTGCCATAAAATCGGGCAAAATAAATAATCGCATATAAAAAATGTAAAATTTCGAAGTTTAAATTTAAATTCAATATCCTTATTGAATATAAATATTATATATGAGATAAGATCATAACAAGATATATTATCTACACATTGTGGTTATCTATTAAAACACGTGCATATACAAAATAGTATAAAAGAAATTGTAAAGCTTTATTGTTGTGCTGAAAATTCTTTTCACAGACACCCAAACACATTCCGCGCAAACAGGAGGAAAATAGAAATAATTCATCTACACGGTCAACACATTCAGAATTCAAAGAACGTAAGACACACAAAATTGGGAGAAAAGATACTAACATGTAATTTGCAATATTGAGTAAGCGCGAAACTGAGAATTATGAATGCATTTAATGATGAAAAAAAAAATGATATGTATATCCTATTGCAGGTAGTAGAAGAGTATTGGGAGATGGCCGATGAAATTTTTTATATCATATAGCTTTTAAGTGACATGAAATTATCAACACATGCTTGAATAACTAAAATTCAGAAGGAGGTAAAACATCATACATTCCACAAATTTCTTAAACTTAACTATCCTATGTTTGTTTGAAGACTTTTACCACTTTTTTGTTGAACTTTAGAAAAAACAAAGTCTACAACTTTATACAATTGAGACCAATAGCATATGGAAGTGTCCTATATGTTTTTTAGATTTTTTATGTGTAGTTGTAATTAATCTATTCTATGTTTTTTGCGAACTTGAATCTGATGTGTATTTCCCTACCTCTTACAAATTATAACTTTATTTACCTGTAACAGACAAGTATACAATGTAAATACCTTTATCAATCTTCATGAGCCCAGCAGATGCCTTTGATTTTCTTAAGAATGCTCAGTAAACACACTCAGTACACACATGCAAAGATAAATAATAATGTTAATAATCTACTTTATGAAATATACTGATGGAACAAAACCAAATTAATTTGTGAACAACAAAATTGGATATACAATTCTTTAAATGTGTAGAATCGAGTATTGACAGAACACATATAGGAATATACAATCTATATTCTAGATATATATAATAAGAATAATCATTTACCAAAAATAGTAGCAAAAAAATAGGTCAGAATTTAATGTAGCTTATAAATAGTAAGTTTTATTATTTTACTTATTTTTTTCTTTAAAAATCATACAACATTAAATGTTACCTTAAATTTCGGTCTTTAGTTAATTTTATTATTTAAAAAATTCGGATAAGATCTATAAGTGTACATGTTTTTTTTTTTTTATTTAAATTACTATGTTTATTTTTTGTCAATATGCACGAAGTAAAAATAATTAATTCATCTTTATATATATAATTTATAATCTTAATATACAATCGTTTGGTGTAGTCATTTATTATATGAATCATAAAATATTTTTATTTCATACAATTAAATATATTTAAAAAAAATAAGAAATTTTCTTGGGATCAAGTGGGTGATTGAATTAGGGTACTGCCCAGGTTGATTGAATTACTCTTTGGTGATATTTAAAATAGTAAAAAAAAAAATTGACACAACTTAATTGGTCTCAGGTAACTAAGTTATGTATCAATTTGATCAGACCAAATCGATTATTGAACCTAAATATAAATCTTAATATTAAAAATATTTTATTACGTGAATGTGATGTAGTCCAAATTTCAAATAATCGTATTAACAATGCTTTTATGACATCATGTTTAATGATTTATGTTATTTATGTATCATTTTATAAATAATATTTATGTGAATTAAATAATATTTTAGATAATGTTTATTAATATACAATAAATATAAGTTTTTCAGAGCTGTACCGTCATCGAAACGATCAATCTATTTTATTAAATCATTTGTGGTTTGTTCATATTTTAATTTATAAATATTTTAATATATATATATATAGTACTTTTTATAATAAATTTAAATAAAATGTGTTACTTAATATCTAAACAATTTATAAATTAAAATGTTTAAATTAATTGATAAATAACTTATAAATCTCTATTTTATTTAAATAAGTAATTTTATTTATAATAATTTTAAGTGTAACAAAATTTATTTAGAAAATCGTGTCGATCCTATCAGTCCAATTGATTGGTATTGACGGATTCAATAGCAAATATTTTATTCAAGCGAACTAGACTGGTTATAAACCGGTTCTCAGTCCATCCGGTCAGACTGTGTCCAACCCGATTTAATTTAAAAACAATAAATAAATCATGATTAATGTTATTTGTATATATAATTTATAAGGGCATCCATATCCCTTAACACAAAAATCATTCATTCAATAAAAAAGCAACACTCTCTCTCATCCACATCATATTTCCACTAAATCTCTCTCCATTTAAACACACACCCACATTCCTACACATTCATTTAAATACATATGTGGGACCCATTATCCACTCATTTAATATAATTTTTTATATTCTATTCTCAATAAAAATAAATTTTAATATTTTTAAATTATAATAATAAATTTTAAATGCATGAAAATGAAAGAACATTACAAGACCAAAATTACTTAAATTAAGATTACACACGAAAAAAATAGTACAATTAAAAAAATATTTTTTTTAGTTGTTGGTAAAATGAGTCCAAATATGCTCAAATCGGCACGAAGTTGATGATGCATTGTGTTATCTTGTATCTCCGAATTTCTACGAATATAATTTTGAAATTCTCGATTTGACCCCTGGATAGGTTGGGCGGGCTCTTCATCCTCGTCATTGTGCCAATTTGTTACTACATCTCCTTCATCTTCAACAATCATATTGTGTAGAATAATGCATGTCAACATAACAAATTTAAGTTTTCTTCTATACCAAAACCGAGCAGGACCTCTTACAATTGCCCATCGAGACTGAAGCACCCCAAATGCTCTTTCCACATCCTTTCGAGCAGCTCTTGTTTTTCTTTAAATAACTTTCTTTTAGTATCTGACGGGCAAGGAAAAGACTTTACGAACGTAGCCCATTCTGGATATATTCTATCTGTAAGATAATACCCATTTGCATATTGCGTGCCATTGACAGTAAAATGAACGTTTGGTGCATTTTCTTGCAATATATTATTAAATAAATGAGATTCATATAATACATTGATATCATTACGTGATCCTGCAACACCAAAAAAGGCATGCCATATCCATAAATCGTATGAAGCAACCGCTTCAAGGACAATCGTAGAAGACCAATGCCCTCTTGTGAATTGCACTTTCCAAGCAACTGGACAATTTTTCCATTCCCAGTGCATACAATCAACGCTTCCAAGCATATCCGGAAAACCATGATTTTCTTCATGCATTTGGAGGAGTCTTTGAACATCGCTACTGTTCGGTCTTCTCAAATATACATCACCAACACTTGAACCACACTTTCACAAAATTTAAAAAGACATTTGATAGCGGTTGACTCACCCATACGTAAATACTCATCAAGGTGGTCAGCTAGGACTCCATAAGCCAACTGACGAATAGCTGATGTGCATTTTTTAAGTGGTGACAAACTTTGTCTTCCTACTGCATCAATGTTTTGCTGGAAATATGATGATCGTGTCTGAAGTGCATTCACAATTCGAATACGGAAACGTCTACGAAATAAATGATCCGGGTAGACTGGATGGTCAGAGATATAATCACTTACAAGTCTGTCATCCCCGTCTTCACGATTTCTCTGGATGAACCTTCTTCTTCTACGAACTTCAATTTCATGTTGATATGCTTGAAGTAACTCGTGGCTTCGTTGAACGATTGATGAAATCATTTCAACTTCTAAATCGTTAGTGTCATCACCATCTTCACTGTTGGTGGATGATGATGAATTAGACTCGGATGTATATGAATTTTGAGACATTTTTAGAGGATTCTAATTGAATTTAAAGTGTGTAACTGTGATTTGCAGAATGAGAAATATAAGTGGGATTGCTTTGAATATATAGACATCAACGTATATGTATATTGGCCATTAATTGAGTTATCAAATTGATAAGCGTGCCACAGCCCATACCTTATCTTCTGACGTGTTTATTTGTGCCAGCAAATCGATTAACTTTTTAGAGCCATATCTTATCTTCTGACATATCGATTTTGATCAGCAAATTGATTATTATAGACATCAGTTGCATATAGTTGTCATTCATGACCCATACTTTATTTTCTGACACATTAATTGAGTTATCAAATTGACAAACGTGTCACAACCCATGCTTATCTTCTGACATGCTTATTTGTGCCAGCAAATTGATTAACTTTTCAGAGCCATATCTTATATTCCGACATATCGATTTTTGACCAGCAAATTGATTATTATAGACATCAATTACATATGGTTGTCATTCATGACCCATACTTTATTTTCTAACACATTAATGAGTTATCAAATTGATAAACGTGCCACAGCTCATGCCTTATCTTCTGACATGATTATTTGTGTCAGGCAATCGATTAACTTTTCAGAGTCATATCTTATCTTTTGATATTATTTTGACCAACAAGTTGATTAGTCATATTGTTTAACAGACAATACATCTCTCAAATACAAAGAACAATTTAAGTGGAAAGACGTACTACAAATTTAAATTCGAACAAGAACAATTTAATGAAAGATTGACCGACAATTCAATAAGAACAAGAACAACTTAAATGAAATACAAGCTAAAAGTTCAATACCTCCAATCACAACATACAAAAATACAAGGATAATTAAAACAGATAATACAACGTCTACAAGTTCCATTTCTCACGAATTACTTGACACATTTTTTCATGAGAAATACGTTGCTCTTGGGTCATGTGGCTTGTGTCCTTCATTAAAATATCATAGTCGTTCCGACGATTTCTATGCTTCTTCTCCTCAAGAGTAGTTTTTTTAACTTCAACTTCAGCTTTTTTCAAGCTAGTTAACTTAGCAAGATGCTTAACCATGTTGTTGTATTCTATGGCCATCTCATCAAGGTTAGATTTACCTTTGCCCTTGGCCTTTCGTTTGGCTGCCTTCTGTCCGATGGGGCGAGCCACTTCATGAAGTTCATCTAAGTCAATGTTTGCATCCCCCTTTGATGAAGTATTGCTGGCACCAGACTCATCAATTCTCGTCTTTTTCTCTCAACAAAAATATCATTAGAACACTGTGGGGTGTACATAGGACGATCTTTGACGATTCTCCATACATGCTCAAGATTGAATGCTACACCATCATTCTCAATACGATATTTTTCGTAAGCCCGACTTAATATATCCTCATCACTACAACCACTTCAATAAACACTGTAAATACTGTTATAGCACTCATTGAATCGATATACCTTTTTTTGAATCATATTATGCCAGTGAGATCTTATTATATTAGCATTTCTGTGAATATAATCAGAAGGTGTATTTTCCTTATAATAATTTGCAACATGTACCCAAAATGCTTCGGCCTTCTGATCATTACTGGTAATTAGATCGTCACTTATTGTCACATAAGCTTTTGCCAATTGCACATCCTCTTCCTTTGTCCATTGTCAACGTTTTTTCTGGCCTTCAACAGCAACACGTGTGTTTTTTGGGATTTCAACGTTAATAGTTGCTTCACAATCTTGGAATTGTGTTTCTGGAACGTAAGTTTGAGTATCAGCTTCTTTCCTCATTTGGGATCCAGAAGATTGACTCGATTGTTGCGGAGAAGATTGCACCAGATTTTGACTATTCATGTATTGCCAATAATCAGGCGGCGGGTTTTGAAATAAAACTTGTGGAGGATATTGTGAATATTGAATATCTGTGGAATTTGGATAATTTTGGGATTGTTGTTGCATAAAAGGAAAATTTGACGGGAATTGTGGGAAAAATTGTGCAGGATAAGAAGTTTGTGAAAATGGTAAATTCGGCGGAGTTTGTGAATTTTGGAAGAATGGAATTTTTTCTGGATTGTTAGGATTAGAACTTGAGAAATTTTGAAAATTTTGCCTATTATTCGGATCCATTTTTTTTTAGGCAAATGAACACAGTTGCTAAATTTTCTGGTGTAAGAGAATTGACAAATTTTTTTGTGCAAGAGAAGTGACAAACTGAGGTGTATTTATAGGCAAAGAATGGGGATAGGAAATGTAAATTATTGATACATATTGAGAAGTGTGATATAGATAAAATTTGAATTTATCTGTATTGGAAAGTGTGATATAGATAAAAAATAAATATAATATAAAAACAAAAAGAAAAAAGAGTTAATAAATAATAATTTTAAAACAAAAACAAAAAAACTAAGCATGCGCAGCATGCAAGTAATTAAATATAATTTTAAACAAAAAAAATAAAAAAAAATATAAATGCAATGAACGCGTTCAATGAAATGAACGAGGAAGTGGGTCCCCTTTTAATAGATGAGCCACATCCGTATTAACAAGGGGGGCGTTTAAACGGCAATATGAACATTCGCAGTGTGGATGCTCTAATATAACCGTAATATTATTTTTCTGTGGGTCACGCACTAGTATCAATTCAAATGTAAATAAATGTTCTCACGTGGTCAGGGCGTCTGTACTACGTAGTATGTTGTTATCGCCGGAGGGTCCCGAGCCCTGATTGTGATAGATCACAGATATGCAACACACACTACCCACACCTCTACACCATTTATTGTGCGCGCATTAGCATAATAATATTTTATAGTGTCTGTATCCTTCTCAAATTAAAGTTATTTGTGCACAAAGCGAAGTACTGCCTTCACAGGATGTATGGTTGAGTCCTGGCTCATTCTACATGCAATCCTTTGATTCAAAATGCTAAACCCAAGTCCCCGTTGGATTCCGCCTTTCAATAATCCGTAACTGCACTTCATGGTTGAGCAGATTTCGTGGCCTCGTTGGATTCTAAAGGTGGGTTATCGATTTTGGTTTGTTCTTTTTCTGTTTGCTTTTTGTTTTGTGTTGGCATTTACTAAAGCAGCAGTCAAAACGCTCTTTCATTTCTCGCAGCCTTTTATTGTTGTCCTTTCACCTTTTTTTTTCCGGAAAAAAAAATCAAGAATTTCTGATGAAGGTTAATGGAAATTCTCCATTCAGTTCTTTTCTTTCTTTCATTTCCTAAGCTTCAGATTCCCTCTTTTCTATGTATGTCTGTGTAAGGAAGTCAATTACCTTAATTGTTGAAACTCCGTGTTTTTGAACTGAGAATGGCTGTTTGAGGTCCCATTTTCTTTGCCATTATTTCAGCTATGGATTATCCATTTGATGATCTTCCTCTGTAAAAATGTCAATTTTTGTGAACTTGGCCAGTCACATTCTCTCCATAATCATCCACTCATGGTAGATTCTACACAGACAAACTATTAGGTAGACTGATGACAAAAAAAAAAAAAAGATCTAATCTTTTTGTCCCTTTTTTTCAAGAAAATTTATTTGTAGCCGGAAAAAGATTCAATTTTTAAAAGGGGTGGTGAGAAAATGTCCTCGTGGGAGCATTTTGGGGAAATAGCAAATGTGGCCCAGCTCACGGGAATCGATGCCGTGAAGCTGATAGGGATGATAGTACAAGCTGCAAGCACGGCCCGTATGCACAAAGAGAACTGCCGGCAATTTGCACAGCACCTGAAACTGATCGGGAACCTTCTAGAGCCGCTCAGGATTTCCGAGCTTCGGAATTATCCGGAAACTCGGGAGCCTATTGAGCTGCTGGAGGATGCACTGAGGAGGTCATATGTACTGGTCAATAGCTGTCGTGACAGGAGCTACTTGTACCTGCTTGCAATGGGTTGGAATATTGTTTACCAGTTCAGAAAGGCCCAGAGTGAAATCGACCGTTATTTGAAGATCATACCTCTCATTGCTCTCGTTAATAGTGCTCGTGTTCAGGTATATCATTATTTTTTTCTTTTATTTTATCTGGCGATTATTGATAACTTTAGTCTGATGAAAAGTGTGAATGCCGTTGAAGATTTATTTTTAATGTGTTCCATGTTTCTATGTTTGATGTTGTAGTTTTAATGTATTGAAAGCTGGAACAATTGGTGAGAACAAATTTGTGTGGAAATGAGATATTTCTACGTGTGTGTTAGTGTAGATTCTTTATTTATTTATTTATTTATTTATTTTCTCATGTGATTTTTGGTTCTTCATTTTTGTCAATTGGATCATAGTGTCAGGCTGGTTGAGTAGAATTTGCTGGTTTGTGCACTTTAGGAATACTTTTGCTGTTGGTGCTTTATTGACATTTCACCAATCTTTTTCTTTTCTGCTACCCAAATGGAGTGGTGACTAAAAACCCAACTGCAGTTCAGATGTCAGTTCAGGAAACAAGGGGTCTCCACAAAATGTTTCTTAAGATAGTTTTTAAGGCACATAAGTTCATTGGAACTTTAGGTGAAGTGTCTGCCAAGTCTAGCATGAATAAATTAACAGCAGTGAATCCAATGAAGAGTAGAAACCAACTATCTGGGGGAAGTAACCTACAATAATCTGAAAAGAACAAGCAAAATATGCTACTAGATATTTATTTATGTGCATGTAATTACAAAATTTAGAATATACAAAGCAATATACATTTTAACCTTAACAAAAGGAAACAATTCCTTCTGTTTGCACATTTTAGGAAAGACTCGAAATGATTGAAAAGGACCAACAAGAATACACATTGAATGATGAGGATCAAGAGGTGCTAGACGTGATCCTCAGACGTGAGCCATTGCAACACGACATGATTTTTCTGCAGAAAACACTTTCCTGTTCATACCCGGACATGCCTATTAAGGAGGCTGTCAAAAAGGAAAATGAGAAGCTTCAAGTGGAATTGCAATACTCGCAGTCCAATATGGATGTCGGCCAGAGTGAAGTGATTAGATATCTGCTTGAAGTTATGGAAACTTTTGCAGAAGCTCCTTTCCCTGAGGATAGTGTGATTGTAAAACAATCCAAGGTGGAATATGATAAAAACAGCTCGGAGAACACTGAAAAACAAGCAGCTTCAGGGTTCGTTTTTCCTGTATTCTTCACGTTTAGCTGAATTGAATGTATCTTCTTTCGGTTTTATGATCCTTTCTAATTAATCACCTTGATTCTGCTCTTCCCAAATGGCTTTTT